GGAAACCCGAGCAACTTCCCAGCAACTTGCGGCTTCCTTTTTCCTCGCGGGCACTCGCGCCTGGCCCCAAGCCATGCGGCGGAGGGGAAGCCCGGTGGGCGGGCGGGCGGGCGGGCTGCTTGGAGGAGGCTCCGGGCTTCCCCTCCACCAGGCGCGAGCGCCTGCGAGTTAAAAGGAAGCAGAAAGTTGCTGGGAAGTTGCTCGGGTTTCCGGGGCTTCCAGGCTTAAACTTTGCAAAGGCAAAGTTTGCAGGCTGGAGCATCTTCCCGCCGAGGAGCGGGAAGGGTTCCACCCGGCGGGTGGGCGGGCTGCTTAAACTTTGCTCAGGCGGCCTCCGAGGGGAGGGGAAGGAGGAGAAGAGGGAAGGGAAGGGTGGGGGGGGGCGATTCCCAAGAAATCTTGTGCTGACCCAGCCCGTCTGTCAACTTTTAAAAGTCAATGCGGCCCCCGAGCCAAAAAGTTTGCCCACCCCTGGCCTAGAAGCAAGACCTCCACCGCTAGGCCACCACACCACTCAACATTGCTAAGTCTATGCTTATCCAAAAGAGGTCAGAAGGAATGAAAAAGAGAAATAAGTTATTTCAAAAATAATTATAATTATATAAATAACTTTTCATTTTTATTGCTAGAATTGGCATCACTAAGAAATCATGGCATTTCAAAAATGTACATTGCTTACTTTATCTTGCTCTAATTGTTCTATCAAGTTTTTGTTTTCACGTAGCTGAGTAATGAGTTTGGTCTTTTCAACCATATGACAATCCTAAGAAACAGAAACAAAGTAAACTTTAGAACACTCAAGACCAATAATTTTCTCACATTTTGTTATTTGGGTATTTTTTTTAAATGGAAAGTCCACTTCTTCCTTAAAATTTACATTCTAAATGCTTCAGAATTTCCTCTAGAACTGAAGTTTAGCATGAACTTTCCAATTTACATAAAAACTATTAATTTACAGTCATTGAAATATACCACATTAAATGTTCAATAAAAAGTGGATGCATGGAATAAAAAGTGTTTGGCATGTGATTGGTGAAAAAAAACTTATATACTTTATAATAGTATAGATTTAAAATTATAATTAACCCAAGAAATATTATTTAACATGAACTGCATATCTGTGCATCTTTTTTTAATGATGAATGGAGGTAAAAATAAATTTGTAACTTTGGCTAAACCGTGTCTGTCTGTCTGTCTGTCTGTCTGTGTCTGTCTGTCTGTCTGTCTGTCTGTCTGTCTGTCTGTCTGTTTGTCTGTCTGTCTGTCTATCTATCTATCTATCTATCTATCTATCTATCTATCTATCTATCTATCTACCTACCTATTATTTTATTTCAAAAATAATTATAATTATATAAATAACTTTTCATTTTTATTGCTAGAATTGGCATCACTAAGAAATCATGGCATTTCAAAAATGTACATTGCTTACTTTATCTTGCTCTAACTGTTCTATCAAGTTTTTGTTTTCACGTAGCTGAGTAATGTTACCTACCTACCTATCTCTATATATCAACATGATATATATGATATAATAATGCCATTATTGTTATAGGCTGTCTTGTACAAAGATAATTTCAGTATTTTAATTTTGTACTGAAAGATGTTTATTCAAATACTGATGTCCCTTTGAATTATATATCAATAATTGAAAATGGGGCAAGATGGAAATAGAAATTGAATGCAAACATACCATGCACTAACACTAATACTGTTGCCTAGCTGAAACATCTGCAAGGAAATCGCCACATTCAGAGAGCATCTAAGAATTCCACATCTCAACCCTGACCAGAAATATTCCCTTCTACTGGATGTTCTATTTTTGTTTTACTTTTATCCGCAGGCCATCAAGAGTCATTATAGAATCAGACAGTCTTGGAAGTTGAAATAATCAATAAGATAAAATATCTCAAAACTTTTTGTGATTTCCCCCCATCTTTCTGCATACATATGCATATAACAACCAAAAAAATAGACTCTGTAAATGCCTTGGTAGGATTTCCTTATCCTAATATATTTTAAATATATATATATATATATATATATATATTACTAAAATTTACATCTATGTTTAAATATATTAACATCCAATTTTTTTCTATGCATTATCAAGTATGACAGAATTTCTATCTTTTAGCATATTGCATTATTATTATTATTTAGAATTTGTTCTGTCTTGCTGCTTAATAAAATGGATTATAATCTAGCATGTTTTGTTATACAAACTATGTAATTAATGATAAAAATTAATACCAAGAGAAGGCTTTATTTTCCCAGTACCTTTATTTTCTCTAGCTCCAGAAGCCTCTCGCATAGTTGTTCCTGCAGTGCTTCTTTATCACTGGTCAGCTGTGTTAAGCACTCCTTCTGAGATTTAACTCTTTCTTTACACTGATGAAGCAAGTTTTCTTGATGTTTTACTCGCTGAGTTAGAGTTTCTATTGTTTTATCAGCATTCTCATTACCAACTATGAACAGCAAAAAAAAATATGCTTGGTTTTCATTTGATATTTCACATGTACCAAAGTCTGCACAGTGCGCCAATTATATGAGCTGCTGCTCTATATGGGAACTCTTCACATGGTTCCTGCTACTTATGGAATTAAGATTGCCCTTCTACACAACATCTGCTCCATATTTAAAGCTGCTTGGCCCCATACAGCTGCTCAACTAGTTAAACAAATAATTCTTGGTTTTAATCTTCAAAATGATAGGGGGAAATCTCATTTCCAGGAACTCTTTTACAGTCCTGTTGGATTCCCACATACTTCCAAGCATCACTTCTCTTATTCCCAGAAGAACATTGATCCTAGAAAGTTTTAATTAACTATTATTAACCTGACAGGGGGAAGGTTAACGATATCCTATATTCAGGGCAATCTTGTATTTAAGCAGGACTCACTATAAAGTCAGCTACTTTATTCTCTGCTTTGTGATAGTGTTATCTGCTTCTTATCAACAATGCTGGCTGGACAGAAATTGAACTTATCCATATCGTACTTCCATATTTTCTGTTGAAAATTTCCAGTAATGTTTCTAAACTTTGCTCTATCAGTACTGACATTAAGATTTGGGGTTTAGCTTTCACTTTAGAGCAGAGGTGGCCAATTCAAGGGGCTATATGAGACACGGGCCCGAACCAATGTCCTCAAATTCCAGCACCTCAACTTAGGCTACTCCAGACGAGGAGCAAATGCTGCAGAGACAGAAAAATACTTGTTTCCTCACCCTCCCATGGTCATCAGCTGACTGAAGGATTTCTAAATACATGTAACATTTTACCACATTTTCCCATTTCTTTCCTCATTTTATTGCTTCTTGCCTTTATTTTTCCCTTTCTATCAAACAAAATATAAACCCAGAACTAAAAAAAACCAAGAAATTTAAAAAGGAAAAGGAGTAACAAAAGCAAAAGACCTGAAAAAATGGAAAAAATGGTAGTTTATACTACTATGATTTCAAAGTTATACTGTTAATTTCTTCCAATAATTAGACCTCTAGCTTGTTCACCCTCTGCAAGAAGATTTTTTTTTCAATCCACATCAATGGAACTGGGAAGTGGAATTTTTTTGCTAATACACTAGGAAATATTAAGGAAAAAATATTAATACTGCTAAAATTGTTTGAAAATTACAAGCAACCAGCTCTATGTATCAGAACTCTGAAAATTTCCACTATTTCTTTAACATGTAGTGTATTTTCTTTTTTAGATAAGAACTTACCAGGACCTGCTGACTGCAAAGTATTTTCCGTATTCTGATTTTTCACAGGACTCTGAACTTGTGACTGAATTTGAACATTTGGATTCGGTATTTCAATGTTTATCTCATTGCTATGCAATTGTTGCTTCAGTAATGATACCTGCATGAGCAAAATATTTATCCATTCAATAGTCAGGCATAAATTAGGATTTACTGATTTTTTTAACCTATTAATACAAATTTCTGCATTATCCTTTAATATGTGACTGAAACAGCAATATACAAAAGCTATAGGAAGACAACTCCAAATAAAGTGGAATGATACATATGGTTTCTGCAAAAGCATTTTCCTGATACATATTATCATTCAAAATATTGCAAAAGACACAGTATGTAGTTAAACACATCCAAATGAGTTTTTTCTTCAGTATATCCAAATCATTTTTTCTTTAAGTATCATAAATCACACCATATTGCCAACTTAGTGTAGCGGTTAAGGAAGGCTAAAAACTAGGAGACTGTGAGTTCTAGTCCCATCTTGGCCACAAAACCAGCTGGGTAACCTTGGGCCAGTCACTGACTCTCAATCCTAGGAAAAAGTCAATAGCAAACCATTTCTGAAAAACCTTGCCAAGAAAATTGCAAGAATTTGTCCATAAAGTCTTAAGATCGTCAAGAGTGTAAAACTACCATTAAGGAGATATGTACCTTTATCTTTATATGGCACATATCTCCTTAATGGTAGTTTTACACTCTGGCGATGTTAGCAAAGCCTAACAAAAGTTTAATGAAAAATATAAATTTTTACTTCCAGAGATTGGGATATCTGTCTCTTTTTTCACAATTAGCTGGAACTGCTTCACAGTGCTTTTACAGCCCTCTCTAAGTGGTTTACAGAGTCAGCATATTGCCCCCAACAATTTGGATCATTTTACCCACCTCAGAAGGATGGAAGGCTGAGTCAACTTTGAGCCTGGTGGGATTCGATCTGCCAAATTGCAGTATGTATATATATATATATGTATATATATATATATATATGTTTTCTTAAGTTTTCGCGGGTACTTACATGTATGGTGTTCGGCTTGGTTCGGGTATTTTCCCACGTCATTGTAGTTGTTCTTTTAAAGTTGTAGCAACGTTTCAGCAGAATCTCATCTGCCATCATCAGGCTTCTGTATTGTGTCCGTCTGTGAGTCAGACTTTTACAGTGGTTTCAGATTTGAATTTGGGGCAGCCTATTGCTATGCCAGAATGGTTTTTTCTTCATCCTGATTGGTTGGGAGTCTTGGTCTGTGTTTATTGGTCTCGGAGTTTGCTGTGTTCTGCTTGATTGGTGTCTCTAATATCTTCTGTCTGTTTTTTGGCTCTTTTTGTATCTTGATTGGCTGGCAGCATTGTGTTGCTTTATTGGAGGCCTTTAGTGCAGCTTGGCTTCGGGTAAATGGACGGCTATCATTAGTTAGGAAGCTGGGTTTCATCTGGGTGCCTGGTTGGGATGTGTTTGAGCTGGAGGTATCAGGGGGGATCTGTTTGTGCCCAGGTGTTTGCCTGGCTTGTGGTGTGGAGATTTTTTTGTTTGTGAGTGCAGGCTTCCAAATGATTGACAGCCTGGTGGAATCATCTCTTCTATTCATGCTTTCTGGTCTTTTTTCAATCTCTATGGCTTCTCTGATGATTCTGTGATTAGGATTTTCTATAGTGGCCAGGGTTTTGGTGCCATTGAAGTTGATGCTATGACCTGTGGCTTCCATGTGTTGGACTAGTGAGGAAGTGTGTTCCAGCTTTTTGACTGCATTTTTGTGTTCATCCAGGCGGGTGCTTATTCTTCTATTGGTCTGTCCAATGTATGTGGCTGGGCATGATGCACAGGGGACTTCGTATATGCCTTGGTTTTCCAGGTCAATTTTATCTTTGGGGTTGCTAAGGATGGCTGCTATTTTTCTGTCTGTTTTGAAGGCAGTCCTGATGTGATGTCTGTGTAGTACCTTACTAATTTTGTCTGTAGTACCTCTTATGTAGGGCAGGACAGCTGTTCCATAGGTCTGTTCATCTTCTGGGTCTCTATTATGTTTCAGTGTGTTTTTGTGGATCAAACTGGTGATTTTGCTTTTGTGGAAGCCGTTGGCTGTCAGTACTTTAGTCAGGGTGCATAGTTCAGTCTTAATGTGTGTCTTGTCTGCCAGGCGTTTGGTTCTGGTAATTAGTGTTTTAGCCACGGAGTTTATCTGTGCTGGGTGGTGGTGGGATTGGGCGTTGAGGTAGCGGTTGGTGTGGGTTTTCTTCTGGTATATGGTGTGTCCTAGTGTGCCATCTGTTTTTTTGTAGATTAGTACATCTAGGAATGGTAGTTGTTTGTTTGTTTCTGTTTCCATGGTGAACTTGATTTTGGGGTGTGCGCTGTTTAGGTGTGTTAGGAAATTGTTTAGGTTTTCTTGTCCATGGGGCCAAATCACGAATGTGTCA